ACCCCTGCTGGCACCCCCCTACAATCTGCAAGCGAGGGACTCTACGGCCGAGTGAATGGTTACTCCCTACCTATGCCAGGCCCCCTCGAACTTGGCGAGTCCATAATGGCCGTTCCCGGAAACACAAATTCCTCCAGCTTCAATGACCCTGCTGTGTCCACCAAGGCGCCGGGCATCATGCGACGGATCTCAAGAGGCGCTGCAAACAAACTTACCCGCAGGCGGCAGTCTACGACCCAAAACGACAAACGGGATCGAAGCACTGGTCCCATCATCATGCGTCGACGCAGTGATAGCAAAACCAGCACTCAACCCGTTCGAGACAGCGCTCTGGATTCAAGCAACGAGGATGAAGCCAGCGAGGCCTTGGACAACCTGGGCGCATGGGGTGGCTCGGAGGCATCCAGTCTTCGCAGCGAGAGTCGTATGAATATGGCTCGCGACGTTGGCCCCCTCCCCACGGTTGCAGTTGCACCCAAAGTAGACTCCGCTGTCCAGCGGGGCACAGTCTTAACCAAGGTAACTAAGAAACGCAGGAAGCAGGTCCGCTTCTTCCTCGACCTAGATGCTGCCAAGGTTTTCTGGGATGTCTCCAACCCGGCCAAACGCTTCTATATCGATGATATCAAAGAAATCCGGGTCGGCGCCGACGCCCGCAACTACCGCGAAGAACATCAGATTCCCGAAGATTTGGAGCGCCGGTGGTTCACCATTGTTATTGCAGATTCTGACCGCTCCAAGGGCCGAACAGTCAAAACCTTGCACCTCATCGCTCCTAGTGACCGTATTCTTGACCTGTGGATTACCACCCTTGAGCATATCTCTCGATACAGAATCGATCTTATGTCTGGTCTGGCAGGTTCGAGTCAGAGCGAAGCGGTTCTGCAGGCACACTGGCAGCGCGAGATGTCGAGACTCTTCCCGCAGGGTCCTCCTTCCGTAGAGGAGCAAAGTCTCGATCTCGCCGCCGTGGAGAAGGTCTGCCGCAGCTTGCATATCAACTGTTCCAAGAACATGCTTCGGGCACAGTTCACTAAAGCTGATGCTGCCTGTAACGGCAAGTTGGATTTCTCCGAATTCAAAGACTTCCTTTTGCGTTTGAAGGAACGAAAGGATGTCAAGGATATCTTCAAGCTTCACACCGCAAAATCGAAGGAAGGCATGACTCAGAGCGAGTTTTTGACTTTCCTTCGTGACGTACAAAATGAAGATATCGAATCCGACCGGGTCTACTGGACTGCACTGTTCGACAAGTACGTTCGGCGGGCCTCTAAATCTCGCACTCCTTCTGCGGAAGGATCGGAGCTTCCTCCACCTGTATCGCGGATGAACGTGGATGCATTTGCCGCGTTCTTGTCTTCGTCCAGCAACGGTGTCTACGCTTCACGTGCTCCCCAGTCAAGATTCGACCGGCCGTTGAATGAATACTTCATCTCGAGCTCTCACAACACTTACCTCCTGGGCCGCCAAGTGGCTGGTGCGTCAAGCACCGAGGCTTACGTTAGCGCGCTCCAGCAGGGATGTCGTTGTGTCGAGATTGACTGCTGGGATGGTGCAGATGGACGCCCCATCGTGTCTCACGGGCGAACTCTAACTACCAGTGTCCTCTTTGCGGATTGCATAACTGTCATCAACCGATACGCCTTCATCACATGCGACTTCCCTGTCATTCTTTCTCTTGAGGTGCACTGCAATCCAGATCAGCAACTAGCAATGGTCAAAATAATGAAGGAGACATTCAAGGAACGCCTTATCCTTGAGCCCTTGATGACCAACTGCCACATCCTTCCGTCGCCCGAAGAGCTCAAGGGCCGCATTCTAGTCAAAGTCAAGACTTGTGACGAGTCCCAGTTTGATCCCCGCCAAAATACTGTCGGCTCCGTCGGTACCCATGGCCGCAAACGCAGTGCTAGTACGCCATTCGTACGACCGACTCTCCCTGATATGAACATCCAGCCTCTTCCCTCACTCTCGAGTCCCCCAACAATGGGTCCTGTCGACAGCATTGGCCCTTTGATCTCGCAGGATAGGCGTTCGCTTACTGCTACAAGCATGAGCAGTGCAACTGAAGACAGTGACGGGGCGCTAGTGTCTGTTCACACTGACAAGAAGAAAAAGCGGCGCCAGAAAAGCAAGATCACTAAGCCTCTTTCTGACTTGGGTGTCTACACTCGTGGCTACAAGTGGCACAGCTTCTCCTCTCCAGAGAGCAGGCGGTACAACCATATCTACTCGTTTGCTGAGCGGTCATTTGAGAGCATCACTCAGAGTCACGACAACAAGGTTGCACTGGAATCGCACAACCGCAAGTATCTCACCCGAGTGTATCCTTCCGGATTCCGACTCCGTTCATCCAACTTTGATCCGAACAAGTTCTGGCGCCGTGGTGTGCAAATGGCAGCACTTAACTGGCAAACCTACGACATCGGCATGCAAATGAACCAGGCTATGTTCGCCGCTGGAACTGACCGTACTGGCTACATTCTCAAGCCCGAGAGCCTTCGCTTACCAGCCGGGGATGATGGAAAGCAAAAGCGCAAGATGGAGCGCAAACTGGTTCGATTCTCGGTCGACGTCGTGTCCGCACAACAACTCCCCCGTCCACGCACCATTGGGCAGGACGACAATATCAACCCTTATGTCGAGATCGAGATGTTCAGTGCTGATGATCGTGGACAGAGCTTTGTCCTCGGCGAAGGTGGTATGGATGCCTCTGCACGCAACGGTATGTCCGGCATCGGATATCCACACCGTCGCCGCACCAAGATCGAGCAAAGCAATGGCTACAGCCCCGTTTTCAACGACAAGTTCAAGCTGTCGCTGGAAACTAAATATCCCGATCTTGTGTTTGTGCGATGGACTGTCTGGAGCTCAATGGACGGCCGTAGTGCAGGCAATAACAACAGTGTGCAGCTGGCCACTTTCACCGCCAAGCTCACCAGTCTCTCTCAAGGTTACCGCTACTTGCCTCTCTATGATGCCAGCGGTGACCAATACTTATTCTCGACGCTTTTTTGCAAGATCTCAAAGCAAGAGCCCATCTCCGTTCAACGTCTGGACCTCGAAGAGCTCCGCGCCGAGCGTATGGGTATTCTGCGCCAGATCGGCCAGACTGTCTTCAAGCGTTCCTCGTCGGCCGAGCGCGAAAGGGATCAACCACACGATCGCAGTGATTCCCCAAGCCCTGAGGACAAGGAAGGTTCTCCTAGCCTGACACCCACAGTGTCAACAACGTCAAACTCATCATTTATATAATGATAGTCACCTCACCTCTCATCTCGCCCACCTCTATGGCCACCGCAGCTTTGCACTGGCTTTTCACCTCATTCCTCTCCCGATCTGGAATCTTGTTCCTATCAATGTCAGCATTAACCAAGGTTCCGGCGTTTGTCTTTCTACTGCATCATATCCCACTCTTTGCTCTCATCTGTGCCTACATTGCCGGACGTTTTGTTTATTACGCCATTGTCATCCATACCCGTCACAGCGATACCCCCCAAGTTGCTTCAAGTTTTATTTTTGCCATTCACCATGGGTATTATCTTGTTCATCGTCCTTGTCCTGTTATTTGTCTGCGACAAGCCCGGAAACTGACCATCCGGCTATGTATTCGACTGGGAGATGTGTTTGTGTTTTTTAATCCCCCTATCTTCTCTCCCTGTTTTCTTATGTTTGTTTGGTCTTATGTATGTCTTTGCTTTTCATCTTATCTCTTTTGTTGCGCTACGTGTCCGCATAGGATCTTTCGGGAATTTGGTTCTACCATTCATCATTATCATTGCATTTGAGGGAGTCAATCACATCGGAGAACATATACGTGACTGGTTCACTGGAGCAACTCTTCTCATTCATCACGTCGTTTATTATCATAGCATAGGGACTTGGGATTTTTCATTTTCAGGAGGCTCTCACAGTTGATCTGTCGATTCAATTAAACACTCTTGCACACTAGCATATCACTTCTGTTTGTGCCAATATAGTATTCACGCGGAATGTATTATTTGCCTTTGCTTCCATCTCACACGTTCTTTGTTGAAGTAATACTTTCTCACGAAGAAGATCACTCCGATTTTCTTGGCGCTAATTTATATATCACTGTCTATGACGGGTTTATATATGGGTGGGCTGTAGACTGTAGAGGATGAACAATCCCACGACATATAGTAATATAGGTAAAAAAATTCTAGGACCTATATTTCCTTTTTTGCACTATCATGCAATGCTACTAAGCTATTTCTCACAACTGGTTCTCAACTCACTCGTATATGGGGTGGCACAACATCTATGCCCACGCGTCTGCTGGGATTTATATATCTACATATGTAGATAAATTACAAGGATTCCACTTGATGAAATCAATAATAAATTACAATTGAATCTCAGTAGATTCCATGATCTATAATTAGGAGTGGCCAATAGCCTGTTCCCACACGTTATAGATCCATGGATGGCCTCAGGCACAATACACGTGACATATTTATTACTCGATCTCATCGAGTCAACGCCAAGATTTTGCTTTTCTATCTCCAGCTTTTCTCCATATCGAAGCATAGATTACGGTCAACCAATCACAGCATTCCCTAATATTTATTATGTGGGGCTAAGTGGAGCTAACGTTGCAAGGTTGCCGACTCCCTCGCCAATTCCTGGAGATAAGGCCGGGACGTCTTACTTGAAGTCATTCGGTCACTACCCGTAGGTGGCTATGATAGGCTCAGATCATCATGGATGCTTCCAAGACTGGAGACTCGCAGCCAACTACTTCCTTATCGGCCTCGGGGAAAAGAGGACTCGGATCCTGGAGGATATGCTCCAGAATCATTCCATGTGGGCAAGGTTATAATGATGCTGTTATCCCCAGTCTTTTTACTCCTTCTTCCAAGATTCTTTTTTTTTATTCAACTTCCTCACAATAGCCTTGCCTTGACACTTTCTTGGGACGTTCGATTACTATACTGGCAACTATTAGCAACTCCAAGTCTACACCTCCATCCGCCAATATGTCCAAGCTCAAATGGTTACTCGACAAGGCGGCCGTTGAGAACGAGCCGGGACTCACCAATGCTCAGATGATGTTGACCAACAATGATCTACGGCCAGGTGAGACTATCTTAGCTTATATGATTTCGGATCCTCCCCTTATTTATCGCCCTCATGGCGGTACACAAAGAATATAAAGACTGATCAACGGAAATTGCACTGCAGTGGATCCAGAAAGACGCCAATGGAGATGGGTCAACTTTATTGCTTTTTGGATTGCGGACTCATTGAACATCGTCAGTATCTCCAAAGTGGTGCCCGGAAAAAGCCCCATGGGATCTAACACAAAATATAGAACACATGGATGATTTCTTCCTCGATGATCGTTGACGGTCTTTCCTGGTGGCAGTCTTGGATCTGTGTCTGGGTTGGATACTTCGTGGCTGCAGGTTTCGTGTGTCTGACTGGGCGAATTGGTGCTGTCTATCATATTTCTTTTCCCGTCACAGCCCGAGCTTCATTCGGAATATGGGGCTCTTTATGGCCCGTCCTCAACCGCGTGGTGATGGCTATTATCTGGTACGGTGTGCAAAGTTATATTGGAGGTACGTATCTTTCCGATCTGGCGAAAAAAAATGTATACTTATATATTACTAGGCCAGTGTGTTACTTTGATGATCGAGGCCATTTGGCCCAGCTACCGGAACCTTCACAATGGTCTCTCTGCTAGTGCTGGCATTGATACCAAGAACTTCGTCAGCTTCTTCTTATTCTGGTTGCTTTCACTTCCAGCCTTGTGGTTCCCCGTTCACAAAGTCCGTCACTTGTTCACCGCTAAGGCAATCTACTCTCCTATCGCTGCCATCGCTTTCTTTGCCTGGGCTATCTCCCGTGCCCACGGCCTCGGCCCGATTATCCACCAGTCCAACACCGTCCACGGAAGTGATCTTTCATGGGCGATGGTGAAAGGAATCATGTCGTGCATCGGAAACTTCGCGGCACTTATCATGAATAACCCTGATTTCTCACGATTTGCGAAAACACCAAAGGACGCATTCTGGTCCCAGCTATTGACCATTCCCGTCGGCTTTGGTGTCACCTCATTCATTGGAATCATCGTGTCTTCCTCCTCATCGGTGATCTTCAACGACGGCTACACATGGAACCCCCTTTGATCTCCTCGGAAAGTTCCTCGATGGAGCCAGTTCCGGTCAGCGCTTCGGTATCTTCGTCATCGCCACCGGATTTGCCCTAGCCCAGCTCGGAACCAACATTTCCGCCAACTCAATCTCAGCAGGCACTGATCTGACTGCCCTGCTACCCAGATACATGTCCATCCGACGCGGTAGTTACATCTGCGCCGCCGTCGGTCTAGCTATGTGTCCAGTACGTCTTACCACTTATTTAGTTCTATCCCCCTCAAATACCCATGACCAAAAACTAACAAAATCCACAGTGGAACCTTCTCTCAACCTCAAACAACTTCACAACCTACCTCTCAGCCTACTCCCTCTTCCTCTCCGCCATTGCCGGTGTCATGATCTGTGACTACTACATCGTCCGAAAGGGCTACCTGAACATCAACTCTCTCTACAGCGCCAGCAAAACAGACTGCTACTACTACACTGGCGGTTTCTCGTGGCGCGCCTATACCGCCTACATCTGCGGTATCCTGATCAACATCGTCGGCTTCGCCGGTGCTGTGGGTTGCAAAGTCCCTATCGGCGCGGAATACATCTACAACATTAACTATTTCACCGGTGTCCTTGTTTCCGGTGGTGTGTACTTCGCTCTCACGTGGTTCTTCCCCGTTCCTGAGACAAGTGCTACGTGGAACGAGGTTGATATCGATGTTGAGGATTTCTCCGTTGCATACGGAAAGGACCCCAATGACTTGGAGGGTCAAGGGTATGCTGATCGGAGGTCATTTGATGGTGCGCTTGGGTCGGATGATCGGAAGGGCCCAAATACTTCCAACAAGAAGATTTGAACGGGCTTAGGTTTTCATGGTAGCGTTTCCTTTTGATACTGTTTTTCGCTGGTGCTCTTACTATCCAGCGAGATTCAATGTATATAATTAACTCCCCTATTTGGGATATATTTACGATGATACGACAATTGACTGCTTCTGGGTTCCTAGGCTTCCAGAGATGGGCCACCCCAGGATTTGCTTTTTATGACATGGGCATTCTTCAACCCCGTCTTGGAATAACTACTTTATATATATATATATTACCAGCTAGATACATATCTGCTCCGAATGAAAATAACATTAATTAATCTATAGGTTCTAAATAGGGGCTATTGCATCCTCACTTGCATTGGACGATTTCTTCGGTGTTCCAGGACCGGGCTGCCGGCTATAGATAGTAGAGGAGTCATCACCAATGAATGCCCGCATCACGATACAGGAACGACCCTAATCCTAGGGCCGTCAGAAGAAGTCTCCAACCGCACATCCATTTGGCGAGACGTCTGTTCGATGCCCTTGAGGGTAGGATCAGTCCTGAAAGGATTTGGTCCCTCAAGATCCAAGTTGGAGAATAGCAGAGCCAAAGGCGAAGACTTCCAAATGTAATCTCTCCTTGTATGGAAAATAGTGATGATCAAGAAAAGCGAACTTAGGAACACCAATGTAGTAGGTAAAATCATCCACAACCACCGCACATGAACATAAGATACCGTGGACCAGGCAGTTCCGTTATGAGAGGCATGGCAGTTCTTTGATCGTGCATGTGATGTGAGTGAGGCTGCTAGTGACTGGAAGACAAGGTTTATGTCGGTGTAATTGCCGTATGCCCCGTAGAGGGCTTCAATAGAGTCGGATGACCAACTTGGTCGATTACTCACGAAGAGTGACCCCGTACCTTTTAGCAAGGGGGTGATTGAGTTTGAAAGGGCTAGGGTGCTTAGAGAGCTCACTTTGAAGGCGCACTCTGGGCTGTGTGTGCTTTCTTGTTGTGTGCCGTTCACGTAGCAAGTATTTGGTACGATTTCAAAGTCTTTTAAGGAGGTGCGCGAGTAATTCGATGTACCTTCAATTGAGATGAGCTTCTCCGTGAATGTACCGCCATTGACAGCTGCATGATAGGTCTCGACACAGAAGGAGAGGGAGCACTCGGTTGCGCTCACTGTGGGAGGTACACCATAGCCAGAAGAAGTGATTGCGGTAAAATTGAGAATATTTGCCAGGCCGGTTGTGTTTAGGCTGACGAGGTTGCCAAGATATGTGCTGTTCATGACATATTGTCCGTTTGTGGATGTTTGGAAACTGAAATTATTCGGCAGTTTGTAGTTGTACGTTGCTTGCTGAGAGGTGAACCCATCCACCTTGTGAAGTGTTAGAGAGTCGGTAATGTTGGCGCACCGGCTGCAAATACCAAGAGACTGATATGGTGCGAATGTACAGTTGCCTGTAGTGCACTCCATCAAAGAACTTTTGCTGTTTGGGCTTTGCTCTTGGAAGATCCCAGAGTAGATGGCACCGATGGTCGACAGCGGTGCCTTGTTCATCCCGGGACCTTCGCCTAGTCCATAATCGGTGTAAAGACTTGAGTTGCACACTTGAATGGATGCATTACCGTGCGTTGGGACTGACCGTCCTAGGATTCCCATTACCTGCTGCACAAATGGGTCCGTAGCAGCTGCGATAACGAGGACTAGACATCCAAATGTGATAAGATGACTTTAAGGCATGTTAGCTAAGATCTATGTCAAAATCCATATAGACTCACCGAGGAACAAAGCAAAATAGAGCAATCAAGGCCCCCACCGGTCCACGGCTAGCAGCGTCGAGTAATGCCAAGTCACTTAGTTTATTGCCTTGATTAAACCAGGACCATTTCAGTTGGGACAAAGCTTCAGTACAAATGCACACCATTCCCGCCTTCATGGCTGTAGACAGAACCGAGACTAACGCGTTCAACGTGATACCGTACGGCCAGTCCGGCACTGGTTTCCCATCGAAATTGTACAGTACAACTATAATGGCAACCAGGAAAACCACAGCGATGAGACAATTAAGGATTTCGAAGGTCCAACTCGAACCAAAGAAACTGGTCTGAGATTGCAGTATCGCTTGTTGTTCTGGCACGGATAACGGCCGTGACTTGCGTTTTGCGTTTGTCGCAGTACCCGATGGGTCATCCAGTCGGACATACGTGAGCTGGTATTCCTCTTTGCTAAAAGCCATATTGTCAAGTCTGGAGATACCCATGCCAAGGACATCCAGGGGAAGAAGGATAATATGCTGGGACCAAGAACAGGATTTTGAAGATTCCGGGCATCTCCACATCAGGCAAAATAAGTGAAACTAGGGCAGAACTTTCGAAGCTGAGCAGTGGATAATAATAGTGGAGTAGATGATACCTGCCGGGTAGAGTCTAGTGTCGACAATCTTCATTTGATCGTCAAGCCGGTCCAACAGCGTGCTTGTTTACCCTGAAAAGTGGGCCAGCTTAAAAAAAGATTAAGAAATCCTTCCAATCATTCTAGAAAAATGAGATTACCTTCATTTACGAAGGTGTATACCGTTCAGGGGTCAATCACGCCTTATGGGGCCTGAGGATCTGAATTACTATATACAAATCCCTTAATCGCCCATACTACCTTATGTAGGTAGGTATACTGCATATCCATGGATGTAGTCACAATCCTAGGCCGCTATCCAACCTTTCCAAATTTAGCAAAGCCAGAGTACCGAGCTATGACGGGTTGGGATTGGCACAAGGGGAGCTCAGATAGATGTGCGTCTGGGTATTTCAACTTGCCTTTCTTCATGAAAGCTGGCTGCGTGGAGCGCGCAACAGTATCGGCCAGTGGATCAAAGATTTCGTGCGGTGCATCAGGCCATTTGCATCAGGCATTGGACAATCATATCTTCCCGAGGTACCGGGAAGATTCCCTCCCTTCCTGTCTTCGCGTCATGGACAGACGATGAGGTACAAGAGTTCCAGGGTTCCTATGAGACTTTTAACACGCAATCCAGGACATCAGTTCATACATATGTGCCAATGAGATGGAGAATTAGACATCCAGTCCCATGATAATTCCTTAGCGATCCAAGGGTCAGTAAAATGATTCGTTGAAGTTTGACGTCTCCGCATCTCCGTCATTCGAATTGTTAATTTCAATGTTTCCTGAGGATACGAAGGCTGGTACGTTAGAAACACATAAAACTCCACCCATAGTTCTTGGCCTGATGAAATTGAACCCGTTCCTAGACACTTCGTGTGGCTGAAGTGAAAGACCACCCGTTATTCCACGATTTGAAGCGGCATGAATGCCTCCAGCGGAACTGTAACTCCCTTCAAGCCCCATGACGCCTCGGTGGACCTCTGGTGTGATCTTCACACATACCAGTCCTCAAGCTTTAGAGAAGCCAGAGAGAGAAGAGCACACAAATGAGTGGTATACGTACACACAGCAAAAAGCCCGGAGGAGTTTCCTATCTGGTGGCTACTAGTCGGCCGGGTCAATGACAAAAGCAATATCGTAAATAAGAAAGAAGGCTTCACTCAATCTTGGGGATGATAACGCATGCTGGTGAAACGGCCACGACTAAGCCTGAAATGGTTGAACCTCCTATTGAGCGGTAGAAAGAAGAAGCACTCGCGGCTGCATTGAAAGCCGGATATAGCAAACCTGTCTTCTCTCAAATTCTCAATTACGGCATGGATCTGAATGTCCGGATTCTCGAGTACGACTAAATGCCCTGTGATCTAGATATTATTCCTGATGTTTAGAGTAAAATAACCCTTACACCATTGGAATGGGCTGTGGAACATGGAAGACTCGATATGGTCAATCTATTCTTGGATAACGGCGCTGACACAAACCACTATCTACGAAGAACATGGACCGGCCCTGTTCAAGGCAGTGAAACACAAACAGCATGAAATAGTCGAGGTTCTTGCGCAAAGAACGGACCGAATCTCCTGTACTAGAGTTCTTGCTCTCGGGGCGGAGCAACAGGGCACTACAACCGCTAACATCCTTCTTGGACACGATGTTAGCTGTGATTTTGAAAAATCTGATCAGCCTGGTCCACCTGATCCGATCTCCTGGGACCACGACTCTGTTGTGTAGAGGATTGGAATCGAAGAATATCACAAATCCCCTAGTCTAGAGTAGGCAATGCAGCCCTAGTAGCAATAGGCTCAGCCAGGTGTGCCGTTTACAACTTGAACGTTCTTGTATCGAACCGTGTTTTCGTTCTCATAAGGAGCCAAAATCTCAAATTACTGAAGGCAGGTGTTGGAAGTGAAGTGCCGGGACATGTTTTCAATTCAAATCATGTTTCTTAATTCAAAAGATGGGGGGAAAACTCAAGGAAACACCTTGTTTGGTGTTGATGGTGGTTTGGTGACTATTGGTATACCAAATCTTCTCAGGCCGAAGACGACCATTCATTGATGGTCTCTTGCCTTCTGTACAATATATCGTACACACTTGGAAGCCATTCTTTAGCGGCGCAGGGCGTCTCTGATAGGGGAGTCACCACGGCGGAAGGAGGCTAAGTACAAGTTAGCTCGGTTATTCTTGGATCTTGGATATAGGCAGACTCGGGGAAAAGCGGAGAGTCGGGTCATTGTTGAGAGGCCTGCAAAGCTCGATGCGGAGAAAATTACAGCAAGTAGCCTCTGTCCAAGCTCAAGGGAGCTTATCCCATGGTGACCCGAAGCTCCAACTTCACCAAAGGTCTCTCTAAAAGCCAAACTAAAATGAGATATAGATATTAACGTACCATCAGCCTCTTCCCAAGCACGTCCGGCACCGAAACCGAGACCAACCCACGCGGGCCAAGCTCTGCGCTTGAAGAGAAGAACCGAGAAGACAACACCGAAAGACAGACCGAGGGAGGACTTGATGAGCACAGAGGAGATGGCGCGGTCCCACTAATTATATGACGTTGACGGTTAGCCAACGGGTTCTCCCATATTTGTTCCCAGACCGAGGCAATCGTCATATATCGATGGTGTGATGATATATTGCAACTTCTCCCATTTGAGTATTCAGCTAGCTCATACCTTCTCGTTAAGCAAAGCCTCGCTAACGGGCTTGGTGGCGCGCGCGATCGGCCCGGATTCACTGGATTCAGCCATTGCGATAAATCTACCGGGGCGGAAGTAAGTATCAATTGAGGCGGAGCTATTTCCGAGGGTAAAACACGAACCAGTTGCAATTATGTGGAATTATAGAGGTGAATGGAGGCGTGTGGAGTGCAAGGAGTTTGGGAGGTTCAGCGGACCGAGTCGATTCGGCCAAAGGCGGTCGGAGCAATCTGCGGTTTTTCTTCTTGGTCTCTTTTTTTTTTTCCCTCGACAAATAACCAACCACTCTCTCGAATAATTTGCTTTTTTCGAGATGCCGTTGATTGCGGAGGTAAGTCAAATGCAACCTTGAAATCCTGCATGTCCTTTTCCCGGAATCTAATGTGTTGCGCTTCTACAGCGTCCGCGCTCATCGCAAGAGGCGCTCCTCCGCCTTGAAAAGGGCACCGCCAGTCCAACAACCCAGATTCACGAAGCGGCCCAGATTATCGGTGTGGATTTGACGCTATGTGAGAGTCACCCGGAAGTTCACCGAGATGTTCAGATTCAAACAAACGCTACCCCGAAGGAGGAATGGGTTCTGCGATGGCTATTGAAGAGACTGAGAACTGGGAAGAACTACAGAGTGGACGCGGCTTCGTTCCTTTTATTACGACAGCTCATCGACCTGATTTCACCGAAGAACCTCGCTGCTATTCTTAAGGACCAGAAATTCTTATCGATTCTATGTGATACCCTCGAAGATTTGGAGGCCGATATCTTTTCCGGTCTGGGGAACGGGCTTGCAACCCTAAGCTCTGACTCCGAGTCCAGTCACACACTGTCTGGGTCCCCGACACACGATGATCGCCGAGGAAACCAAGGGAAAAAACGCAAGAGAATGACAACTGAGAATGATGCAGACGCCATGGACGTGGACGTGGACGAGCAACGTCAGAACCCCGCAGCATGCTTCCTCGCCTTCATCCGCGCATTGGATTGTCTACACGGATTTGTGACACTTGCGCACCGCACACTAGGCACCGATGGAGTGGCAAACTCTCATTTGAAGCTTGCGCTGAGGGGCGAGCCCGAGGCCGTCGCCATGCTGCTGGGCCGAGCATTCCGAGTGGCCGCCGTGGCCGCCAAGCAGTTCTCGCATGAGGGGAAAACAACTGATCTTCAGCACTTGCTATACGTATTTCCCTCAGCAGTGGAGCTGTGGGAATCGAGGTCTTACCGTGAAGATGATATGGACAACAAGTCTAGCAACGAATTTTTCGCGAGACATTGCTTCGCCCACGCACTTAGGCTCCAGATCTGCCTCCGGTCCGCCAAACTTGACACCGACGAGAGGGCCACTCTCCTGCATGCGATTGAACGCATTATTGCCCTACATGTCTTGCTTCCTGCTCGTGCAGCATTCTTTGAGCGTGGAAGCTCCGGCATCGATTATTCTCAGGATGAGCCTGACTGGAGCTCAGTCAAACCAGTGACTGATACCTTCAGGCCAATAATTCGCGAGTTTGCTGTGGCCAAGGAAAACAAAGCAAGCAATGAAGCTTGTATGCATCCCTGGCGATCAGTGGAGCTTCTTCCTGAGCTTTTTGACAACGCTGTGCGTGCTGTTCCTAGGGATGTGTTCCGGAGGCAGACACACGAAGCTCCGTGGTTAGAGACTTTGTTCGTCGCTGTTGCAGAGCTTGCGTTCTCTACCGCAAAGGAGGAAGACTTTGCCACCTTTTCTTCCAAATTTATCTCGGTACTGGAGCACCTCCTCCAGGTAGCTCTCGACCGAAAGGTCGGTCTCTCTCTTCACACCATCCTGGCGCATGCCAATTACACTGGTCTTTTCGAACAAGGCCTTGAGAAAGTTCAGTGGAATGTAACCGCTCTGTTTATCAGCCTTGGGGTTGATATTTTCCTGCCAAACTCCGGCTTGCGTGATTCGCGTAAGCTTCTTGACGCATTACTCGACAAGGTTCTATTACAATGGCGCGAAAGTGGTCCTAGGAAACGGGGAAACTACGATGTAATCAAGAGCAGGGTTGTGCTGCCCTTGTTGCGAGGCTTCGCCGCCGCGAGAGACCTACCCGGCTTCATGGAATTGTGGCACAACCAGCTCGTTATCGTGGAGCAAACTCGCCAAGATAACAGCAATTTGAGTCTATTCTCGGTTTGGGAAGACGATGAGTTGGCGGACGCTTACTCGGAGCTGATGCGAACCTCCCTCACTGAGACGCATATTGCTGCCCAGATGCATACCGCTGCTAGCGACACCCGAGCTGAAAATGGCAAGGTGGCTGAAACCCCTCAGTCTTATGCCAAATTTGTTATTGTCGAGGCAAGCTTCCGTGGCCGAGTCTCGACGTTCCCAGAATCGGAAAAGACGTTGACATCTCTCCTGGAAACCATAACCTCTACTCTGTCGTCGAAGCAGGCTCTGCACTGGAGATGGCGTCTGTGGCGGTTGGTTCGGAATTTCCTAGAGAACACCCTGCAGTCAGCCGATAATACCATGGCAAGTTCAATCATGTCATTGGTAGAAGTCGCCGCCAAGACTGTTCATCGCAACCACAAGGACCTAACCAAAGTTCAACTCGCTCCTCTGGAATCGTGGGAGGCTTACCGGTTTTTAATTGTTGCAACCAAGGCTCACGCTAGTGATGAGCAGCTAGGTTCGTTTGTTAAAGCCACCAAGGATGTCACCAGTCTCATCTCCTCCATCTCAACTAAAGATGCGAAGAAGTCGATGAAGGCACCCTGGAATGGCCGCACAGATACTGTGGATTCCCAAACAACCCTTGGCCTAGCTTACTTCCTTGCCCTTGTCAGAGTTCCGGAAGTTTGGGCTCTTATCTCTTCTGATGATCGATCCCGTCTGTTCCGTCATATCCTGTCCCTGGCAGCTGCTCAATACCATTCGACGTCATTACCCTTGGAAGCTGTTGCAGAAGAAGCAAAGTTCCTCCAGGCGTGGGCGAGTGTGGTCTGCCACGAATATATGCTCAACGCTCCCTTCATTGTCTCTGATCTTTCTCTCCTCCTCAACGAAAGCATCGAGCAAGACTCCTCCAATCGCAAACTGCTTATCGAGAGCTTGCAGAGGGTTCCGGCCCCGTTGATCACTCGCGGGTTGAGAACCACCATTCTGAACAAGTTGCAAAATGTTTTACTTGAGCAGGACAATACTCCTGATGTCACAATCGGAATTATTACGATGATGGCGAAACTAGCTTCCATGCCAAAATGCGATGCCACATTGACCAGTGACTGGGACCCCATCTGGACTGCTGCTCGAGCCGTCCCATTGGAAGGTACCGACCTCGACCTCCAAATCATGAAAGCATTCCGAAGCCTGCACCGCGCGATATCGGCCAAGCTCCTGGTTTCGTCTGAGGACGAGCGGAACAAAATTTTCAAGAAACTCTTCATCCGGGCATCGAAGCAAACAGCTAAGATGAAGCAGGTGGATCGTGACTCCATGGCCTGTTATCTTTTGAGGTTGACTCTGTCAGAGCTCTGGGTCCACCGCAAGCAGCTGCAGACAGCCTTCTCAGAGAAGGAACTTGCTGCTTGTCGCCTGAAAGTGTTCGACTTCGTGTTGGCTGATATGAAACATGTCAAAGATCAATGCAGGAAGCAGAAGATGGAGGAGACAATTACTCTTATCAAGACCATCGATGCTCTAGAGGATTTCGAAGATCTAGCTACCAACAATGTCGAAGTGGAGAAGTTCCTGTCCAAGATTGACAATTACATGGAAATGTCCGTTGATTCGGAACCGTCTCGGTTAATCCGACGACGTCTTCTTGCCAGCAAAGGACCCGAGCAGAGCATTGCTCAGCCAGTCCTGCAATGCGCCGAGACTCTTGCCCTTCAGTCTCTATATGCTGAGGACCAGCAGCTCTTCATCCGGACTACCACCGAACGCTTCCGCTCCATGACGGTGGAAAAAATCACCCAAACAATCTGCGAAGTCCGGGGACTTGGCTTGATTGGGGAAAACGCCGGCTACAGACTTCTTGTGCTCTACCTCGCCGTTTCCTCACTCCCTCCTGTCGAAGACAAAGAAAGCGCCACAGCACGCGAGATCTCCCTCCTCTGCACGGCCCTCGCCGAAGCCATAACCCAAAGCACAAGCATCGACCAATTCTGCTTCGCCTCCGAATGTCTGGACCTCCTCCTCCGCAGCCACACCCGCAGTCTCACCCAATGCAACATCGACAGCATTCTCAGCGCAATCGCAAGCGCCTCCTCCAAAATCGGCCCCCAGATCTCCCCCGCCTACGCACCAACTATCTACACCCGCCTGTGTCGACTAATGGGCGTCGTACTCAGCCTGCAGCGTCTCAAGATCGGTGGCCGCTTCCACCTAGTCGTAAACGCCATGCAGCGCCTACTGGGCTGTCTCTTCGCGCGGTCCCGCAAACGTGGTCGCTCCCGCTTCCAGCCCACTCTCTCGCAGCCCTTCTGGCTCGCCCCGCTCGAGGCCTCCCACGCTACCTACTACACCCGTCTGCTCACCTCGCTGTGCGACCCTACCGTCTCGGCGGTTCTTCGTCCCCAGCCCGGTGCATCCCGCGAGGCCCTGACTGATCAGACGAAGAAGGCGAAGCGTATTGCCGGTCAGTACTTGCAGTATGTTGTCATGGAGTATGCGCAGTGCTCGCTGCGTGGGTCGTTGTCACCGGAGGTCAAGGCTGCTATCTTGCCTGGTCTGTATGCGGCTCTTGACGTCATGTCGCGTGAGTCTATGCGCGCGCTTAACGCTGCGCTGGATGTCTCTGGTCGTGCAGTGTTCAAGTCGCTCTATGATGACTATGTGAAGTTCGGAAAGTGGAACAAGGGTTGATTTGGTTTTGTGGGTAACTGTCCTTTATCTGTACACTATCTTTTGCTTAAGAATTATGATATCCCCCAATGCATTGATGATCATCATATTAATTTCAAAGTAAAGACTATGCTAGCACCATACTGCCGATACGCAAGGAACACGGCCTTCTCTGGGGCTGGACTGGTTACCACCCTGCCCTTATAATATTGAGCCGTGTCATAACTTCAACTCGGGG